ATCAACTGTCTTGTATTTCATGATTTTGGGTTTTTTCTTCTTAACAGTGTACGATATTGTTGTCACTAGTAGGTGAATTCCATATTTTTATCTTGACAGCATTGTTACTGAGATTTAAATAAAATCCAATGGCGATTGTTTTGGGGTGTGGGTGTGACTAGGATGTGTCAAAAGGATTATAACACCCACACCCTCATTCCTTGATGTGAAACTACACTAGAAACACTTTCGTCGTTCTAGTATGCTTGCGAAGCATAATATACAGCAAAAGTCATACCGTGATATGTTATACGTATTTTTCAGCAATTTTCACAAAGAAAAAGTTAGTTCTCATAAGACGAGTGGAAACAGCAATATTCGTATCAATCCACATACAGCGGATATTTCTGTTTTTCTTGTTGTCTTTGCTTTTTAATTGTTAATAATTGCAACTCCAAAATTAAAAGAAATTGAAAAATATTTAGTGTATGAATATTAAAAACCGTTTCTAATTTTGTCACTCAATGATTGGGTCAATGCTAAAAACTTTTTTCCCTTTGTTTACGGATAAATACGAAAATTCTAATTTCCAAGAGACAGAGTAAAAAGCGTTTATAAACGTTTAGATATGTCGGATATAGCGTGAACCGATTGCAACAAATGAAACATAAAGATATATGTATCCATGAACGAAATTTGACTGAATAGTTTGATCTATATGTAAAAAGAAAAATTGTTTTTGAATACAGGGAAGTGAAATAAAAAACTCTATGCATATAGCTACTGTCTCGTTATTAAGAAGTTATGTAAATTAGAATTCGAGTAAAAAGTGAGTGTTATTTGATAAATATTTCTTAAATATATAATGAAAGAACTTAACTTGATAAAAACACAGAATAAAATTTTTGATCCATCTTTTTTTAAAGAGAAAAATAAATTTCAATTTGTATTTGTTAGTTTGGTAATGGCCATCCATTTTCTGTAATCCACTTTTTTTCCTCTCTTGTTAAGGCTCGTCCACCATGTTTCCATGTTCCATTGTTATATAATGCATGTTTTCCATGTCCATCATCTTTAAAATGAATACGATCATATCGATCACGAGGAGGAGATGCATTATCAACACGATCAATCGATTTTGGTGCTTAACTACGTTCAACTTGTGGGTGGGTGTGGGTGTGGGTACCGGTGTGGGTGTAATTCAAATAATTTCACACCCACACCCACACCCACACATATCTATGTTTTCTTTTATTTTCTTCGTCTCGTACGATTTTTGAAACGCTTCTGTTCGTTCAGTATAGATCATGTGTTTTTTCCAAGTGTCATTGACTTTCCATCTCTCTCGTTAATCTGTAAGGAGTTGCTATTTATAAAAAGAAAATAGACATTTTTTTCCCATTCCTAACGATTATGACAGGAAAAAGTATGAGTCAATCACTAGCTGCACAACACTTTTGTCATTTTATCAGCCAAATGAGGAGAACGCAAGAGATAAGTCGTTCTTTCGTTGGATATGTTTCGATTATGATGTCGCGCACATAAAATGGCAAACCATGTAACCTTCAAATGCAGATAAAACACGCTTAGACGCATTTGTCAATGAAAACAGCGTGTGGGTGTGACTGAATAAATCATTGTTACATGATAATACACCCACACCCAAGGTTCTCTCCGTGTATCCGAGTGAATAACGTTTAAGGTTTCGTAGAATTGCAGAATCGTTTTTCAGCATTTGAAAGCTTTTCCAAATGTTCGAAACGATTTCGAGGGTTCGATAAAATACCTTTTTTTAGAGTTTAATCAATCTGTAGTGTGAGTTTTTTATGATGTAACAAGAAATTTTGCATTTTTGATCGGTTTTCTCATTGGACCAATGTTCTTGGAACAATTGTGACATACACAACTCTGTCACAGTTTATTTTACATTTGTTAAATACTACTTTCGATATCCCGTTTACGATAATAATAAATTATTGACGATTAAAACATTATTTTTAGTAATGCACTACAATGCATTAATTTTCAATACATTATTGTTCGTTATAACAATATTTCTCAAAAATGCATTCACATGCATTGAAATTTTATCAAATTTTTTGGAACTTCATCATGGTTTGAAATAATCCATTGTAATGCACTGGCTTTCGATGCATTATTTGACATTACCCAGTCAGACAAGCAACGAAAAATAACGCGTAAAGAAGAGTAGAAAGCGCACATTTTTACGATTTTATTTTCGTTAGAAATTTAATTCATTTTTACGGGTTTTATTGCTGAAATAAATGCTCTATTGGAGGAATATCAGCTACAATCAGTAGGATTAGGTTGCTTATGAATCATTCTTATGGTTTTTAACAACCTAAGTCTATTGATTGTAGCTGGTATTCCTCTAATAAATCATCTATTTCAGCAATGCAACCCATAAAAACGGATTAAATTTCTAACGAAAATAAAATCGTAAAAAGGTGCGCTTTCTACTCTTCTTTACGCGTTATTTTTCGTTGTTTGTCTGACTGGGTAGTACACTATGTCAATATAATGCATTGAAATACATTGAAAATACAAAAATAAATGTATTACAATTAATTATTTGATCAGTTTTAGAAAATTATGCAAAATAATGGGTCGTTTTCCCATTATTTATCCATTAGCAACTACATAGGTATACTTTAATTTTTCGTTATTTTCTTATATAGAGTGTTAAAAAAGATTAACTGTGCTCCGTCAAAAAAAAAAGGTGTCATACTGAACCTTTTCTCGGTACCATTTTCAGAACCTTTTTAAAGTTCTAGCAAAAAGTTTTGAACTTAAAATGGTTTTAGACAAAAATGTGGAATCTTAAAAGGTTCGAGCTTTTTGGCTAGAACCTTAAAAAAAGGTTCTGAAAATAGTACCCAAATGTAGAAACTTAAAAGGTTCTAGACCTTCGCTTGAACCATAAATGGTTCAGTACGACTCCTTTTTTTTAGAGAGCAGGCTATGCAAAATTAATTCTTTAAGCACTTCTTATCTCTATGGAATACAGCGGCTTATCAAGGACCTTTTCTTTTCCATTCTCGCTCACGCTGATTCATAAATTCTCATACGTCATTCCATTCATCATAAAAGAGAAACATTATTCTCAGCAATCAATTTTATTCAAGTATAAGGGAATATTTTCCATCGCTGAGTATTGTTTACAAAGAGTAGGAATTACCGCTTTGCTCTTTTTTTCGTCTGCTATCGCAAAGAGTGTGGTTGTGGAAGTATTTGTCACAGTTTTCTGTATTCATTAACACTCACACCCACACCCACACCACACCCACACCCTTGAATCACTTACGAAGAAAAGTTCAAAGAACAGACGCTCACACCCTTTCATTCTCTCAAACTCGGCCACTGATCGTCAATTATTTCAACAGAACCTTGTGTTTGACAAGGTTCTGACATGAAGAGAGAAAACCGAAAAATAGACTGATCAACGGCAAGTTGAACGGGAGAGATATTCCGATTAATGTAGTGTGATGTTTTCACGTAGCATGCTTTCATGGCTAAAGAGAAAACAGAATTGGCAATTTCATGTATTGTAAGATCGTTTTTTGACCGAATTGTGATTTTCAATTTTTACTACAACTGACAAAACTCACTGTGTTCAATTTGTAGAGCTTGAAATTTCTACAAAATATATAATTATTAAAAGAAACGTAAATGTGACAATGACAACCCTAAATCATGCGTCATCAGTGCATACATAGCCCAAATCATAAAATTGCGGGTGGTCTCCTCACCTACGAGTACAACTATCAATGCTTGTTCTTTTATCTCTTTGAGAAGCCGAACGTGTGCAGAAAACGTTTTTACTAAAATTGGTATAATATGTATATCCAGAGGATTTCGGATAACGCAGTACACATAAGAAGGTAAGTGATTTTATAAAGAAAACGACAACATAAACTCACACTGAATAATAATGAATATCTCTCAATGTCGAAAAAGATACCATAAAAGAATATGGAACATACCAATCATTGTTGACATGGGCTGGGACTGCACATTCGGTACCTTCGGTGCCTCCGGCACCAACTGCTCTGGATCCGCCACTGCATTAGGGCGATGGTTTGCTCCAGATGTATCAATCCATATTTCACCCATTTTCGTTGCACGCACCGTGTAATCGCGGGCTACAATTACACTTTCATTTGATGCTTTTGGAAACGCCCTGCATATTGTATGCATTTTTCCTTCTTGGTCTTCATAATCGATTGTTATATAAACAGTATTTCGATTAATCCAGTTCGCGCCTCCTATGCCGATCTTGGGCTTAAAGCCCAAATAATTGCCAGGGCTGATTTTTGTCATACCTAACAATTGATTACATTGTTGGTTTTTTGTTGAAAAATATTGCTTACCTGCTTCAATCGCTGAATTTGAAACATCAACATTGTTGAGATCGATATTGGCATTGCCTAACGTAACGGACCCACCGATCGTGTGCTGTCGATCTGTATCGCACATGACCCAAATCGGATGTGGGCAACCATTCGCAACATGAGTTGTGGGATAAGCTCCCATTGTGAACTGAGAACAAAAATGTGAAAAGAAGATTTATGAAAAAGCTTCGAAAAACGATTATTTGGAGTTCCACCGTCTGTATAACATATTTATATGA